GTGGCGGCGCTCCCGCCGAGGGTTCGGATCCCACATACAGACCGGCCGCTCACTGGCTGAGCGAGGTGCGGACGCAACACCCAGGGTTGCGATCCCGTGGCCGGTCCCGGTCCGGTACGGGCGCAACACTGAGGGTTGCGATCCGTTGCCGGTCATGAAAAAAGACAAAAAGGAAAAAAAAAAGAAAGCAACAAATTAATTGATATAGATCAACAAGTATGACTGATGAAACATCAATCTAATATTGACTGGTTTGATGTTATGACGCATCCTGTTACAGAACAAGCATTTTTAAAGATAATTCCTACTCCCCTGTAAAAGGAGTCATACTCACCTCTTGCTTGTAAAACAGTATTATTCTGCACTTAGAAAACCAAAACTAGCCCTTTAATCTCTCAAAGTATTCATGCCCAACAAACTTAAACCTTATTTAGTATTTTAATAGGAAAAATACTCTAAAAAATCTTTCAAAAAAAGGGAAAGGGAGAGGCTTGCTAAGAAAAAAAACGGAAAAATAAGCATAGTACAAAAAATAAAGTTAAAAACAACAAAAAAAAGGAAGATTAATTTTAGCAGTTTTAGGAAGAATGTAAGTTGACAGATATCAAGGGCTTTTCATTAAAATCTCACTATGTGTCTCTGTGAATGACAGTTTACATACCTAAATGAAAATTATCATGAGAATTCCAATTTATTTCAGTTATTCCACCATTCTTTTAGTTTCCAAGATATAAAACCTTAGAAATGTCATAGACTTTTACCCCCATTGTTTTCTATACTTAATCAATCATTGTGTTCTAATATTTCTCCCTTCAAAATGTCTCTTTTGAATACAAAGCAAAATTCCCAATTTCAAGTGAACACGCACACAAAACAAATTCTATGACCATTAAAAAGAACATTTTTCACCAGCCGCCAAAAAAACCCAAAACAAAACAAGAACATTTTTTTCAAAGAATGGAAAATATCTGTTATGTGCTGAGTCAAAAAAACACACAGAAAAAAACCCACAGGGAGAAAAATGTATAATCCCACTTTTATAAAAAGGAAAATAATTATCAGCATAAAAGAAAGACTTGAAAGGAATTACCACTTTAAAATATTAAGTTATTATTTCTGCTTGGGGGATTTTATGTGTGATTTCCCCCCTCTTCTTTACATTTCCTCAATTTCCTACAATGAACAGGCATTATTTTTAAACTCAGAAAAGATGTTATTTAAATAATTGTCTCGTTTACCACTACATGCGCATTCTCATCACTCCCATCTATCTCCTACAGACTCTCCCCTCCCCCAAGACTCCTTGAGGTCTCTGCGCCAGCTTCTTCCCAACTTTAGTATTGCTGTACTCATCCTCCTAAAATTCATCTTAATTCTTATTTACCACTACATGCGCATTCTCATCACTCCCATCTATCTCCTACAGACTCTCCCCTCCCCCAAGACTCCTTGAGGTCTCTGAGCCAGCTTCTTCCCAACTTTAGTATTGCTGTACTCATCCTCCTAAAATTCATCTTAATTCTTACCTACAACACATGTAAAGCATAGGCTAACCAAATATACATTCAACTTAAAATGTGGTTTCTCAACCTCAGCACCACTAACATTTGGAGTAATTATTTCCTATGGAGCGGCCGTCCCATTATAGAGTGTTAACAGTATTCCTGGACTCTGTCCAGTAGATGCCACTGGCAACTCCTCCCTTGAAGTGTGACATTGCCAAATGTCCCCTGGGGAGCAAAACTGAACCCAGTTGAGAACCACTGACTTAAAAGTTTCAGATGAGCTCTCTGCTCATATACAAATCCATCAGACCTAAACCTTTCTGACATGTCTTATACAACACTCCTCATAGTTTTGCCCCACATGATCTCACTTTTCTCAGCAGGAGCTTTCCAAATAGACCAGAGTTATTATTCCCTAGAAAAAATCATTTTCATTCCCAATTCCAAGTCTTTTTTTTTTTTTAAACAACAGAAATTTATTCTCTCACAATTTGAGGGGCCAGAAGGATGAAATCAAGGTGTCAGTAGGGTTGGTTCTTTTTGGAGCTCTGAGGGAGAATCTGTCCATGCCGCTCACTCTGGGGACTGCTGGCAATCCTTGTCTTTGAACACACTGTTTCCTCACTAAAATTCCCCACCTGCCCTTCTATTCAATGCCCTACATAAATTCTTCAATTGTTACTTCTCTGCAGAAGCTTTACTCAGTTCAGTTCAGCATATACCCACTGTACCAATGAAGAGTAGAGCGTGTATTTTTTTTGTTTGTTGGTAATCTCATATACCAAACTAGACTGACTTTCCTAACGTTTGCTGCCCTGGCACATTTCTTTTGGGTCTAACACTATGCTGGGCATAGAGGAAATCAAAAGCTTGGTAACCGATAAAAAAACTTAAAAGCTCTGCTATAAATACATGTAAACTGCTGACTTCTTACTAAGTGATTTTGCTTTTGAACTTTACTTTTTGTCATGGGGCTATTAATTAAGTATAACCATTCCAAGTACAGAGTAACCACTCAATAGTTTTAGGAAGAAAAACATTAAATGTATAAATGATTTATTTAAAAGAAATGCATAGGTTTCTAACTATTCTCTACTTCCATAAAATTATACAAAGGAATTAACACTATATACACAACACACACACAAACCTTATGAATTCCCTTTACCTGAAATAAAACTTAAGTATAGTCAACAAGAGCAGAGATCTTGAATGATGTGTGAATGAACGTATGCGTACACAAAGGCACTCATATCTCCAAAGTTGAAGTAAATTAAATGAAAGCACTTTGTAAATTAAAAAGAGGAGGCAGTTGAGCATTACAGTTAAAAGTGTGGAGCCAGCCTGATTGAGTTCCAATTACATTAACTGTGTAACCTCGTCCAAGTTACTTAACTTCCCTGTGCCTCAGTTTCCTCCTTGTCAAAATGGGGATAAAAGTATCTGTCCCAAAGCAACGCTTTTAAAACAATGCTTAGCATATAGAAAGCAAAAAATAAATATTACCCATCATCACTATTACAATACTAAGTTATTAGCCAAGCAAAAGCCTCAGTGTATAAAGTTCTGGTTCAAGTCTGAGGCTAGTTAAAAAAAAAAAAAAAATCAACAGGATAACTATTTTACACAAGTTTAAATATGAGGTGAACTAGTTTCTCAGAAAGTTTGCTAGTGCTAAATTGGTGATAATTACAGAACTAGTTTCTCTTGTAATTTTAAAAAAAAATCTGCAAAGTAACTGACATAGATACCTCTGTTTTCGAGAAACTATAAGCCACAAGAAAACAAATCAACTCTGTTATTTCCATATTTAAGACAATTTTAAGAGCGTAGAAAAAGCCTAGGTACTGTTACAAAACAACTTTTCAGAAAAAACAATGAGCTTTTTAAAGCTGCAATCAGCAATTCTTATGCAGTTATGTCAAATTTTTGTCCTGCGAAACAAAAGCTCATCTGTCAAGGAAACAAGGACCCGTCAGAAAATAAGGAAATGCCAGGGCCAGGCCTAGGCGGCTCTCGGGAAAACCTGTCCTCAAACAGCTCGACTCACACGCGCCCTGTCCTTCACCCTCCCTGGGTGCAGATTGCGACTCCACCCGAAGATGAATAGTGACAGCAGGTCCCGTCCACGCCTCTCCCGGCCGGGGCTCCTCGGGCCCACCCGGAGCCGACCAGCACCTGCTGCCCCGACTCTCCTCGTCGCGGCCGGCCGGAGGGCTCCACGGGAGCCGGGGGCTCCACCCCAGCCTCACCGCTCCGCCCCGCGACCTAGGCAGCCCCGCCGCGGGGCCTTCAGGTGGGCCCACGGACCGAAGAAGCCCTGCCCGGGAAGGGCAACGGAGGACGCGGGGCTCGCCCTGGCTCGGCCGTCACTTACCGGTGCCTCATGGTACCACGGCGCCTCAGCCCAGCCCTGGCGCTGACGAACCGCACCGGCAGCCTAGAGCGTCCCTCGGCTCCGGGACGGGCCCCACTGAGGGCCATTCAAACGCGGCCACGCGCGCGGCCCGCCGGGATAGCTACTGCCTTGAGGGCCTCGCTGGCCCTGCCCAACGCTGGCTAAGCCCCTCTCGGGCCCGAAGTACCGGAGGGAAGTGGAAGAGGACGTGTGCCCACAGTGCCGCCTGGTGGCCACAGCGCTGCTGGGACATCGCCCTGGGTCCCCTCAAACAGATTCCCATGAACCTCTTCATCATGTACATGGCAGGCAATACTATCTCCATCTTCCCTACTATGATGGTGTGTATGATGGCCTGGCGACCCATTCAGGCACTTATGGCTATTTCAGCAACTTTCAAGATGCTAGAAAGTTCAAGCCAGAAGTTTCTTCAGGGTTTGGTCTATCTCATTGGGAACCTGATGGGTTTGGCATTGGCTGTCTACAAGTGCCAGTCCATGGGACTGTTGCCTACACATGCATCAGACTGGTTAGCCTTCATTGAGCCCCCTGAGAGAATGGAGTTCAGTGGTGGAGGATTGCTTTTGTGAACGTGAGAAGGAAGCACCTGGGGCAGTCTCATTTATACCCTGATTTAAGCAAAAAAGCACGGTGCAGTGAGATTATGCATTCACTCCCACTTAAAGGCACTAAAGCATAGTGTTTAAAAGCATGGATTCTGGGACTCTTTGACCATGGGCAAGTCACATAAATTCNTTGTTTTCTATACTTAATCAATCATTGTGTTCTAATATTTCTCCCTTCAAAATGTCTCTTTTGAATACAAAGCAAAATTCCCAATTTCAAGTGAACACGCACACAAAACAAATTCTATGACCATTAAAAAGAACATTTTTCACCAGCCGCCAAAAAAACCCAAAACAAAACAAGAACATTTTTTTCAAAGAATGGAAAATATCTGTTATGTGCTGAGTCAAAAAAACACACAGAAAAAAACCCACAGGGAGAAAAATGTATAATCCCACTTTTATAAAAAGGAAAATAATTATCAGCATAAAAGAAAGACTTGAAAGGAATTACCACTTTAAAATATTAAGTTATTCTTTCTGCTTGGGGGATTTTATGTGTGATTTCCCCCCTCTTCTTTACATTTCCTCAATTTCCTACAATGAACAGGCATTATTTTTAAACTCAGAAAAGATGTTATTTAAATAATTGTCTCATTTACCACTACATGCGCATTCTCATCACTCCCATCTATCTCCTACAGACTCTCCCCTCCCCCAAGACTCCTTGAGGTCTCTGCGCCAGCTTCTTCCCAACTTTAGTATTGCTGTACTCATCCTCCTAAAATTCATCTTAATTCTTACCTACAACACATGTAAAGCATAGGCTAACCAAATATACATTCAACTTAAAATGTGGTTTCTCAACCTCAGCACCACTAACATTTGGAGTAATTATTTCCTATGGAGCGGCCGTCCCATTATAGAGTGTTAACAGTATTCCTGGACTCTGTCCAGTAGATGCCACTGGCAACTCCTCCCTTGAAGTGTGACATTGCCAAATGTCCCCTGGGGAGCAAAACTGAACCCAGTTGAGAACCACTGACTTAAAAGTTTCAGATGAGCTCTCTGCTCATATACAAATCCATCAGACCTAAACCTTTCTGACATGTCTTATACAACACTCCTCATAGTTTTGCCCCACATGATCTCACTTTTCTCAGCAGGAGCTTTCCAAATAGACCAGAGTTATTATTCCCTAGAAAAAATCATTTTCATTCCCAATTCCAAGTCTTTTTTTTTTTTTAAACAACAGAAATTTATTCTCTCACAATTTGAGGGGCCAGAAGGATGAAATCAAGGTGTCAGTAGGGTTGGTTCTTTTTGGAGCTCTGAGGGAGAATCTGTCCATGCCGCTCACTCTGGGGACTGCTGGCAATCCTTGTCTTTGAACACACTGTTTCCTCACTAAAATTCCCCACCTGCCCTTCTATTCAATGCCCTACATAAATTCTTCAATTGTTACTTCTCTGCAGAAGCTTTACTCAGTTCAGTTCAGCATATACCCACTGTACCAATGAAGAGTAGAGCGTGTATTTTTTTTGTTTGTTGGTAATCTCATATACCAAACTAGACTGACTTTCCTAAGGTTTGCTGCCCTGGCACATTTCTTTTGGGTCTAACACTATGCTGGGCATAGAGGAAATCAAAAGCTTGGTAACCGATAAAAAAACTTAAAAGCTCTGCTATAAATACATGTAAACTGCTGACTTCTTACTAAGTGATTTTGCTTTTGAACTTTACTTTTTGTCATGGGGCTATTAATTAAGTATAACCATTCCAAGTACAGAGTAACCACTCAATAGTTTTAGGAAGAAAAACATTAAATGTATAAATGATTTATTTAAAAGAAATGCATAGGTTTCTAACTATTCTCTACTTCCATAAAATTATACAAAGGAATTAACACTATATACACAACACACACACAAACCTTATGAATTCCCTTTACCTGAAATAAAACTTAAGTATAGTCAACAAGAGCAGAGATCTTGAATGATGTGTGAATGAACGTATGCGTACACAAAGGCACTCATATCTCCAAAGTTGAAGTAAATTAAATGAAAGCACTTTGTAAATTAAAAAGAGGAGGCAGTTGAGCATTACAGTTAAAAGTGTGGAGCCAGCCTGATTGAGTTCCAATTACATTAACTGTGTAACCTCGTCCAAGTTACTTAACTTCCCTGTGCCTCAGTTTCCTCCTTGTCAAAATGGGGATAAAAGTATCTGTCCCAAAGCAACGCTTTTAAAACAATGCTTAGCATATAGAAAGCAAAAAATAAATATTACCCATCATCACTATTACAATACTAAGTTATTAGCCAAGCAAAAGCCTCAGTGTATAAAGTTCTGGTTCAAGTCTGAGGCTAGTTAAAAAAAAAAAAAAAATCAACAGGATAACTATTTTACACAAGTTTAAATATGAGGTGAACTAGTTTCTCAGAAAGTTTGCTAGTGCTAAATTGGTGATAATTACAGAACTAGTTTCTCTTGTAATTTAAAAAAAAAATCTGCAAAGTAACTGACATAGATACCTCTGTTTTCGAGAAACTATAAGCCACAAGAAAACAAATCAACTCTGTTATTTCCATATTTAAGACAATTTTAAGAGCGTAGAAAAAGCCTAGGTACTGTTACAAAACAACTTTTCAGAAAAAACAATGAGCTTTTTAAAGCTGCAATCAGCAATTCTTATGCAGTTATGTCAAATTTTTGTCCTGCGAAACAAAAGCTCATCTGTCAAGGAAACAAGGACCCGTCAGAAAATAAGGAAATGCCAGGGCCAGGCCTAGGCGGCTCTCGGGAAAACCTGTCCTCAAACAGCTCGACTCACACGCGTCCTGTCCTTCACCCTCCCTGGGTGCAGATTGCGACTCCACCCGAAGATGAATAGTGACAGCAGGTCCCGTCCACGCCTCTCCCGGCCGGGGCTCCTCGGGCCCACCCGGAGCCGACCAGCACCTGCTGCCCCGACTCTCCTCGTCGCGGCCGGCCGGAGGGCTCCACGGGAGCCGGGGGCTCCACCCCAGCCTCACCGCTCCGCCCCGCGACCTAGGCAGCCCCGCCGCGGGGCCTTCAGGTGGGCCCACGGACCGAAGAAGCCCTGCCCGGGAAGGGCAACGGAGGACGCGGGGCTCGCCCTGGCTCGGCCGTCACTTACCGGTGCCTCATGGTACCACGGCGCCTCAGCCCAGCCCTGGCGCTGACGAACCGCACCGGCAGCCTAGAGCGTCCCTCGGCTCCGGGACGGGCCCCACTGAGGGCCATTCAAACGCGGCCACGCGCGCGGCCCGCCGGGATAGCTACTGCCTTGAGGGCCTCGCTGGCCCTGCCCAACGCTGGCTCCGCCCCTCTCGGGCCCGAAGTACCGGAGGGAAGTGGAAGAGGACGTGTGCCCACAGTGCCGCCTGGTGGCCACAGGTATGCACGGTAGCCTTGCTACGGCTCGGCAAATAGGAATGGGCTGGCAGGTTCACTCGCTTACTTTGTTAGAGAGTGGTGCTGATAACATGAAGGTCAAGAGTTGGGATGCCTTTACCGGCCAGCCACCAAAGCAAAAAACAGAAACAAATGAACAAAATGCGATAATGACGATGAATAAAAGTCAGCAAATGACCCTGCGCTAGAAACCGTATGGTGGAGGAGACCGTGCCTTAGTGTTGCAGCAAGATGTGCAAACAATCAGCTATAAAAAGCACGGTGCAGTGAGATTATGCATTCACTCCCACTTAAAGGCACTAAAGCATAGTGTTTAAAAGCATGGATTCTGGGACTCTTTGACCATGGGCAAGTCACATAAATTCCTGTGTCCTTTGGTTTCCCCATCTGTAAAATGGGGATGATAAAAATAGTGTCTGCCTCTTAGTGTTGTGAGGATTACATGAATTAACGTATATAAAAATGCTTAGAGAAGTATCTGGCACATGGTAAGCACTGCATAATTATTAGCTATCATGTTTTAGTTCCTATTATGTGCCAGACTCTGTGCTAGACTCTTAAGAACACAGTCTGTATATGATACCGATTCTGTCCTCAGGAAACAGTTTGCCTTTTTGGAATGGGGAACACTAAATTAGAGGGTAGGGGTGGGTCTGTCCTTGAGGTACTTTTAATTACTGAGGGCAATTCCCTTCATCTTAGTTGAGCCAGAGGCTGCGCATCTTCATAGGCAAGCCACTGATCAAGGTTAACCAGATTGACAGAAGTGTTTGTCTTTGGTGGTCCTCTTACCCATTGCGGAAGCCAATCAAGCAGTGCATTTGATGGAACACTTCCTCATACAAGACTACATTCCTTAGCTCACTTTTTTAGGCACTACTTTTAGAACTCTCTAAATAGAACAGGCTGCTTAAGTTTGGTTCAACAATATTTTTGAGAGCCCACTCTGTGCTAGGCAGACATTGTACCACGTGCCAGAGATAGGCTGAAGCAGCTCATGATGGCTTCGACAAACAGGAAAAGAGATCATCAGATACACTGCAGTGAGTGCAATGATAAATGGGAGCCCTCTCATAACTAAATG